AAAAAAAAAAAACAATACTCTAAACCAACTATTAATTTTTTTTTCCTTATTTGCATCGTTTTTCCCTTGCTAATGTTCATATTTTTTAAATACTTGAATAGTTTAAAATAAATACTGAAACGATAAAAATGTTAGTTAAATCAATTTTTTTTTAAGTAGTGAAATTTTTATTTTGTTGTTTTGGTTTAATTGTGGCGTGAGAATATTTATGTAGCATCCAAGAAGTTATAGTGGTAGATAATTTAAATCAATTGTCCTTGCAACTACAACAAATTCACTGAATAATATTGTTGAGTTGAGTATTTTTTTTATTTTTTGAAAATTTCATTTTGTAATTTAATATGAACTAGAAAACCTATTCATTATTTAGCAAGAGGCTGAAAAAATGAAAACTCATTGGAAAGAAGAGTCGCCATGAAGAAATATGACTGAATAATTTTGTAATGGTGTTAATTTAAGTTTATAGGGATTTTCGAATTGTATTAATATAATATAATTTTTTTCATTTCAATGTTTGGACTTCTTTTATTTAAGACATTCCTGGATGCCCCATTTGCTTGGCAAATTTTCTGTGTTAAGAGTGTCTTCAGACACTGGTAATGATTAGTTATTCAATAACTCCAATGTAACTAAATATAATAACATCAACCCCTTTATATAGGGAAGGCAAAAATAAAGAGAAAAAAGATTATAACATGTCATTTCTTATTTCTCCAATGGATTCTTTTTTTAGACTCTCTAAAATAAAGAATTCAATTTGAATTTCTACATTTGGAGAGTCAAACTAACTCTTTCCTCTATTTTTTTGGAACAGAAGAAAAATATATTTGTCTTTTCATTCAAGATATTAAGGATAAACATATCTAATTTAAAATAATGGAGAAAAAATAGGAGGGAAGTCAAATTTATTGTCAACAAGGACAGCACATAAAATGATAAGAATAGAGAGTCCTATTGGAGTGGTGTGTAAAAATTCACTCTCTATTACAACTTTTTACTAAAGATGCTCTCTATTTTAGAAAAAATACTCTCCAAAATAGAGAGCCCTGTTGGAGACACTCTAAGAGCCCATTTAAATTACAGACAAGGAAGTGCCTAACAGATGAGCATTGTTTCATAAATACATAAAGGAACTAGTAAAGCCAAGAACTACCTAACTTGCAGATAATCAAAGCAGATTACGTCTGATTCAAATTATATCATATATACATTAAGAGTCCATTTAAATTACAGACAAGGAAGTGTCTACAGACGAGTATTGCAATGCTGGAAAAATTTCTCACCATAAGCTACTGTGACATGGCCTATCGGGTGCCAGATGTTTATCCAGGCTAGAAAACAGAGACTGCAGATGAAAAAGAAAAACAAATAATAGCATTGTAACCATGTCAATGAAAGCTATAATGTTGATGCAAAAATTAAATGAGAAAGAAGGAATATAGACCAATATACCTGCAGATATGATGATTATAGAAAGAGGGTATTGCAAACTAAGACATGATTTTCCCCATTGCCAATTACAACTTGAGAAGATAATGAACTATAGGAGTTTTCCCCTTTATTATATTCAATGGATACTGGTGTGAAAGACCCTTCATATATTGTCCCATGAAATGACATGTAAAGAAACCAAATCCTGCATGTGATTTTTTTATTTGCTCTGTATAAAAATTCTGGAATCTTTTATTATAAGTTTCACCCTTATCTGATTGTGTTTTTGGTGGTATAGACTTCCAGATCTCACATCATTAATAAGACCTTGAATTTGTGAACATAATAATTGAGTATAGACTCTTGATAAGAAAAAAAATACATGCCAGACGAGTTGTACTATGTGCACCAGAAGCTTCATCACAAGAGTGATAGAAACTTAACATCATGTTTCACATATCAGTGACCACCAAAAATATTAGAAATATCTTTCAGTTCCGGCGCAGCATATATTTAAACAAGCTAAAATTTCTGCTCAAGGAACATAACACCAACAGAAAGACCGATCCATAATAACAAACTAATTCAAAATTACAATTATTCACATTTATATCAAGTTGGGACATTAGTTAAACCAAATAGAGCTTTCTAAATTTGACCAAACTTAACTTTGTATCAAAATATAACCCTCAACTTATCACAATCTCTAGCATATGATGTGTCAATAAGTCCAGTAACCCTAGGTATGTGCCAAGCACAGTAAAAAAATATGCAACTAATGCATTACCAAAAGCATGTTAGACCTCTTGTCACGTCTCCGAAAAGTATGGCGCACAAAATATGCTGCCTGCAAAATGAAGCTACAATAAAGATGTACTTCAGGGGATGGACAAGTAAGCAGCAAAACACAAAATCTAATTTTTATACCTGGATTGGTAGAAGTATATCTAAAAGACCAAATCTCCACAATAGCCTCAAGGAAGCTTCTGCAGAACCATATGCCAGCATGTAATTCATTTCCATGAGGAGCCTTCCCTAGATCAGGTCGAAAACATAGCAAGGAATATTTTTCATCTAATAAATAGCAGACCAATAGAAAGAGTTAGAAATTTTTTTTTCTATACCTTATCAAGCTTTAGGACTGAACAGGATAAATTTTTCACAGCTTGAGCTGTCTCTTTTGAGAAACGAAATCCCAAGCGGGCAGCGATTCTCACTGCGCGCAGAATGCGAGCTGCAAAAATAGAGCAAAAACACCACTTCCTAATGATAAAAGAAGAAGAAGAAGAAAGAAGATGGCAATGAAGATGACGAACTGATGATGGATGTCTGCATGTGTGACCTCAAAAAGAAATCCCCCCCCCCCGGGCCCCCTTCCTCTTCCCCCAAGCCCCCCAAAAAAAATGGAACTGCAACATGAGATTTGACGCTTCAATAGGTATTTGATACAAATAAAGCCAGAGCATTCAATATAAAGACAGACAAATCAGCAATGTCCTTGCCACAAAATAGCAGCAACATTAAGAGCGAAGTAAAACCAGCAAAAAAAAAAAAAAAAAACACCACAATCCTCCAGAAAAGAAAAACTAGCAGGAACTATAGTTTGCACCTACAGTAAAAAGGAGATGATGTGACAAAACTGTAAAAGGTTGACAAATCTAAGCCAATTTAAGAAACTCGTCTACTTAAAGATAGATGCACACTTTAGCTTTCTTAATATCTTCCAGTCCCCCCATATAGTCATAGACTATTTTGGCATAGGGATCAAACATCAATCTGGAAAAGGTAAATTAAACTAAAATGAGACTTCATAAAATGAAAGGAAAACAAATAAATGCAAGAAACCAAAGAAATTCAAAAGTGAACCAGTGCTAGACCAATCTAAAAATAACAATTTTGAACTTAGAAGTTAATATGACAAATAGGCAACCCGTTTATTGTGAAGTCTCGCTGCAAGCAATTCTTCCAGCGAACATAATCCTTCTGGTCACAGCCAAAAGGTCTTTCAAACGCCAAACTAAAGCTTCTCCCAGACTTTGTTGCACATGTGCTAAAACTTGAAACCTAATTCATAAGGGGATATAAGTACTAACAAATATAAGCACCTGACAAAAAAAATCCATGATCAGTTGTCATAAATAAGAATAAAGAATATTTAAAAATGACAAACCTCTACAATGCTGTCATCAATATGCACATGGCAGATAGGAAACCGTCTTCCAATTATCTCACAACGGGAAAATGTTCTCATAACCTGCAAATTGTGATGATGAAAGTAGTGTGGTGTTGCAAGCCCAACAGGGTATCTAGCATTGCACAGATACAAGTCTCAGTAAGAAGTAAGAACCAGACACTACATGGTAGATGCTTTATTATTTATCAGAACTCTCACTACAGATATTGATATGAAAGCTTAATTGGTATAAATGCACAATTTTGCAGGCTACATATTTGCAAAATTTTGATTTAGTGCAGCCAACAATAAGGACCGTTGAGCATAAAAATGCTATTTCAAGTATTCTATAAGAAAGAGTAAGTGGTCTGAGAAGGTTATTTCTTGATGAAAGTCTAACTTATGCTCGTGGTGAACATCCAACTTAGTGTTCCGCCAACTTCCCTTCAATTTTCTTTTGCAAAAACCACCATCCAGAGCTCAAGATGAAGTGACCGCAAGACATTATTTATTGATATATTGACTTAGCCATTTATCAGCTCCAAAGCAACTAAACAAAAGCAACTCTAAACAAAAGGTTTCTCTTAAAAGTTTCAAAAGCAAATATTTTTTCCTTTTGAGAAATTGCTTTTTGTTCGATCCCTAAAATGTACCCAAATTCAGTAAAAAAGTTATTCAAAAATTGCCAGGACTTCCCTCAACAAAATGGAGGTGAAGAACAGGATTAAATAAGTAGTTTGGAAACTTAAAAATTATTATGCATTTAATTTGATAAGTAATTCAAATGCAAGTTATTAATGCAAAAGTGTAATTTTTTAAAAAAATTCTCTGTTAACGGGTTCATCAATACCATCCAGCATCACATGGAAAAGAAGGTAAACAAACCTCTTTCAGCTCAGCCGAAGTTATTACATCAAAGTCCTTTGGTGTTCGTCCTAGGATAAGATCCCGTACACAACCTCCCACAAGGAAAACTTCATACCCTACAAGAATGGAGAAAAAAAGCAGAATCTGTTTAGACACTTAAAGTATAAATGACTTGAAATTTTTTTGTTGTACCATTTAAAAGTTTGATAGTATAGTAAGTTGGGTGGATCATTGGGATTCAAAAGCAAAGAAACACAACCAAAGTTCAGATTCACAAAATATTTAGCATCATAATCACAACAGGCTTGCAAAAACCAGTCTGTTGCGATGGTAGATTAAGGGCGGAGCTAGAATTTTGCAAGTGTGGGACCCACTAAGAGTTGGGAAAAAGACATATCATAGGATTATAGGAACCATAGTAAAAATACATGAAACTAGAGAGGACCAGCTTAGTAATTTTCAAAATTAACAAAACTTAAAAGGGATAAATGATGATTATAGAAAACTTAAGAGGATATGCACCCCTGGTCATGAGGTGGCTCCGCCACTGTAAATTTAGGGGTTTTATAATTTACTATAGAAATAAGAGACTTAATTCAGCCTCCATGATACATTACTTATGAATGATAAAACTAATGATCACTGATAGATAAAAGCATAGGATGAGAAATTAATCACTAGAATCTTTACATGGGCACAAACATGTTCTGTAATTCATCATATGCTTAATTTTAATGATCTTTAAACAAGTAAAAGAAGTTCTAGAACTGTCAGACCTTTTCTTTTGAGCCCATTCAAAACCACTCTTGTAGGCCTTGCAATCATTGAAGTACTAATTCCAATGTCTTTGGAACCCAATTTCTTCCATTTCGGTGCTTTTCGATCACTTTCCATCACTTCAATCCCAAAGCACAAAACTCATTATCAGCATAAAAAGAACACACACAGAGACACAAACCAAGAACAATTAACCAACATTCCTAACCATAAGTCCCCAGTTTACGAACAAAAGGCAAAAAAAAAATTATGCTTACATTTCCCATTAGGACTAACCGAATCATGATTAGTGTTGTCTTTGACGTAGAGACTCTCCGGTTCATTAAATGTTTCGATTGCTGCGATCGTGCTGGGTCGAACCTGCATTGAATTGGCGAGAAAATGGCTCAAAAAACACATACATAGACACACACACACACACACTAATAAAATCTACATCACCTTGCTAATCACACAATGGCGGAGAGGAGAGCGAATAGGGAAATGATGGGGTCGGCAAGCGAATCCCAATCCTGAAGCAATGGCCATGGCAGGACGTTAACATGCCACGAGAAGTTTAGGGACCGGGCGTATAATTTGATTCTAAGAATCAGGGTTTATCAAATTGAGAGAGAGAGAGAGAGAGGGGGGGGGAGGATAATGTTGGGCCGTGGGCATACTAAAGTATTCTTGAGATTGGGCTTTATTGAAGTAGCCCATATACCATGGCTTTGGGTTGAGCCCATACACTAGTTGCCTGGCTTCAGTCATGCTCAGCCCACTTGGATGAGAAACAAACTTAGCAACTTTAACTTGCTAAGCTAGTTTTTNTATTGAAGTAGCCCATATACCATGGCTTTGGGTTTAGCCCATACACTAGTTGCCTGGCTTCAGTCATGCGCAGCCCACTTGGATGAGAAACAAACTTAGCAACTTTAACTTGCTAAGCTAGTTTTTTTTTTGTTACAACAAAACTTGCGAGGTAGTTTGGATGGGGAAATTTGAGGTTTATTAACTCGAGGTTTTATGTTTGACTCCCATCAAATTATGATGACTTACACAATATGTATAATTTGTGGGCAATTATACGTATCGAGAGTTTGCCTTATAACCATGAATTCAAAAAACCTTTGTTTTTGAGGTTTTTTTTAGCTATTGGTGCTATTTGGATCTGGCTTTTTTTAGGGAAAAGTTGTGGTTTGAAAGTTTCGTAAAAAAATCAAAATTAAAAAAAAATTTCAAAATCGTTTAAGGTATTCTTTAAAAAGTTGGAAAAAGTTTATTTGAAGTGACTTTTTAGCTTTTTTGTGTCAAAATAAAAATATATATATTTATGTGTAAATTATGTATAATAGTTCCCAAAATATGAATTTTAAATTTTTTTACGTTACTAATATTATTTTATAAATATAATAAACTAAAAAGTTACGTGAAATTTGAGATAAAAACTCTAAAAAAATCCCATAAAATCTCATAAAATTAGTTTCTTGAGTTAGCTTAAATAAGTTTTTTTAGATTTAAAAAAATGTTTTATAAGCTGGTAAAAAAATCAAGGTTTAAACGAATCTTACTTATTTTACGCCAAAACTTTTAAAAATGATATATTTAAGGTAACTTCAAGTTTATTACAAAGAATAACCTTGGAATTTTAAGAACTATGGCCCAAAGGGGGTTCTATAGTTTCTCAATATTCACCTAGTTTCTCTTTTTTTTTAAAAATTTTTTTTTTTTGGAACAGCACCCTGGTTCTCCAGAATAGGGAATTAGAGAACCACAATTGACTAGCAATGATTTTTTTTTTTTTTCGAACTGGAGATACTAGCCACTCCAACGGACTCTCAGGTCCTACTAGCAATGAATTACCTACATCCAACACTTAACCATTGTCCAACTCAATTAGAAGAATGAGAAAGAAAGCAGAGCAAAAGTGAACAGCGACCCTCTTGTTGGAATTTAATCATCTCCAATACATTTTCTTTTAATTTTAGGCGTGTCTAAACCTATTAATAATTGACGATTCGGCTGCCCATATCACGACCCTACGTGGGCCATTGACTGGCTTGTCCAATTCATCTCATTGTCAAATGTCACATTTACATTAAATTGAATCTTAGTATGGTAAATATAAACTATAAGAGTAGTTCAAGTAATAATAGGGACGAATTATAAATTCAAACGTCCTGAGTTTGAATCTTGTCAATCTATTGAGGGCAGGGCATCAGAGATTTATCCCTCATGAATACCCTAGTCTCAACGTGGATGACCTGTTTTTGATTGGATCAGAGAAATGATCAATCGAGGTGTGCATAAATTGGCCTGAATACTCGTGATCGTTGAAAAAAAAAAAAACCTGTATGGTCAACATCCCTGCTGGAACTTGATGAATTGTCTATTCTTAGGATAGTTCCTAATGAAGAAAAGAACAGCTAAAACAATGGTGACCTAGTGTTTTGCTGCGATATTGCACGCCTGCTATGCTTTGAGGGAACCTGGTAGTACAAGCACAGACCCTTTGTTCTTTTCCCGAAATTTTTCTACTTCAAAGGATTAGATTAGACGTAAAAAGATTTCATCTAGATTACATATGAGATTGATTTCAAATCACTGCATGAAAATTGATGTATTCATAGCCTAAAAAAGATGTCGTTTTTTATTCTAATTATTGAGGTCTTGAAATCGATGGACCGAAAGTACTTGCTCAAATGAGTGGGATTTTGGAGAGGCAATTTCAAATAGAAGAACTATGAATCAGTTTATATCTTCAAACATGAGCTATCAAACTACGTTTGCTTCACACACACACACACATAGTCACATATTGACCGACTATGTTTGAAAGCAATCCTATGCCAAACAATGGACTCAACACAAATTATAGACGATTGTACCTACAAAGTAATTTTATCCTAGGATTTAAGTGACAAATATCAAGGTGAAGTTAATACAGAGAGAAAATTTTCACCATCCCATCAACTATGAGTAGAATGTGGGACAAATAAATTATTCATGGTTTTTTTTTCTCGGAAATAAAGTGTTCTCGTAAATGACTTGAATCAATTTNATGAATTCAAAAAACCTTTGTTTTTGAGGTTTTTTTTAGCTATTGGTGCTATTTGGATCTGGCTTTTTTTAGGGAAAAGTTGTGGTTTGAAAGTTTCGTAAAAAAATCAAAATTAAAAAAAAATTTCAAAATCGTTTAAGGTATTCTTTAAAAAGTTGGAAAAAGTTTATTTGAAGTGACTTTTTAGCTTTTTTGTGTCAAAATAAAAATATATATATTTATGTGTAAATTATGTATAATAGTTCCCAAAATATGAATTTTAAATTTTTTTACGTTACTAATATTATTTTATAAATATAATAAACTAAAAAGTTACGTGAAATTTGAGATAAAAACTCTAAAAAAATCCCATAAAATCTCATAAAATTAGTTTCTTGAGTTAGCTTAAATAAGTTTTTTTAGATTTAAAAAAATGTTTTATAAGCTGGTAAAAAAATCAAGGTTTAAACGAATCTTACTTATTTTACGCCAAAACTTTTAAAAATGATATATTTAAGGTAACTTCAAGTTTATTACAAAGAATAACCTTGGAATTTTAAGAACTATGGCCCAAAGGGGGTTCTATAGTTTCTCAATATTCACCTAGTTTCTCTTTTTTTTTAAAAATTTTTTTTTTTTGGAACAGCACCCTGGTTCTCCAGAATAGGGAATTAGAGAACCACAATTGACTAGCAATGATTTTTTTTTTTTTTCGAACTGGAGATACTAGCCACTCCAACGGACTCTCAGGTCCTACTAGCAATGAATTACCTACATCCAACACTTAACCATTGTCCAACTCAATTAGAAGAATGAGAAAGAAAGCAGAGCAAAAGTGAACAGCGACCCTCTTGTTGGAATTTAATCATCTCCAATACATTTTCTTTTAATTTTAGGCGTGTCTAAACCTATTAATAATTGACGATTCGGCTGCCCATATCACGACCCTACGTGGGCCATTGACTGGCTTGTCCAATTCATCTCATTGTCAAATGTCACATTTACATTAAATTGAATCTTAGTATGGTAAATATTAACTATAAGAGTAGTTCAAGTAATAATAGGGACGAATTATAAATTCAAACGTCCTGAGTTTGAATCTTGTCAATCTATTAAGGGCAGGGCATCAGAGATTTATCCCTCATGAATACCCTAGTCTCAACGTGGATGACCTGTTTTTGATTGGATCAGAGAAATGATCAATCGAGGTGTGCATAAATTGGCCTGAATACTCGTGATCGTTGAAAAAAAAAAAAACCTGTATGGTCAACATCCCTGCTGGAACTTGANAGTTGGTCTGAATACTCGTGATCATTGAAAAAAAAAAAACCTGTATGGTCAACATCCCTGCTGGAACTTGATGAATTGTCTATTCTTAGGATAGTTCCTAATGAAGAAAAGAACAGCTAAAACAATGGTGACCTAGTGTTTTGCTGCGATATTGCACGCCTGCTATGCTTTGAGGGAACCTGGTACTACAAGCACAGACCCTTTGTTCTTTTCCCGAAATTTTTCTACTTCAAAGGATTAGATTAGACGTAAAAAGATTTCATCTAGATTACACATGAGATCGATTTCAAATCACTACATGAAAATTGATGTATTCATAGCCTAAAAAAGATGTCGTTTTTTATTCTAATTATNATATGAGATTGATTTCAAATCACTGCATGAAAATTGATGTATTCATAGCCTAAAAAAGATGTCGTTTTTTATTCTAATTATTGAGGTCTTGAAATCGATGGACCGAAAGTACTTGCTCAAATGAGTGGGATTTTGGAGAGGCAATTTCAAATAGAAGAACTATGAATCAGTTTATATCTTCAAACATGAGCTATCAAACTACGTTTGCTTCACACACACACACACATAGTCACATATTGACCGACTATGTTTGAAAGCAATCCTATGCCAAACAATGGACTCAACACAAATTATAGACGATTGTACCTACAAAGTAATTTTATCCTAGGATTTAAGTGACAAATATCAAGGTGAAGTTAATACAGAGAGAAAATTTTCACCATCCCATCAACTATGAGTAGAATGTGGGACAAATAAATTATTCATGGTTTTTTTTTCTCGGAAATAAAGTGTTCTCGTAAATGACTTGAATCAATTTCAGCAAATTTTTGTTTAAAATTTTGTAGGGAATAAAGTGCAATTCACCCAAATAGTATAGATGCTCCATTTTTTATTTTTGATGGTGTCATGTTTTGGAACTTTGTTCTACCTTAGTTGATGAAAGGTACAATGTGAAACCAATTTCAAAAATTGAAGGGTGCAATATGTTTTTCATTACTAGTTTAGGTGAGAAATTTTTTAAGTTTTTAAAAAACTAGATTTTAGACTATATGAAGTGACTCAGATCAAGAGTAGAATTGTAGTGTGTGTGTGTATATATATAATAAAGTACAAAGAGTTTCAAACCCCAAACTTATAAAATCATTCGAACGTCTTAGGTCATTTTAAGATTGTTGATCCGACAAACCGAAAGTTTTCACCAAAAATATTCTCGCCTATATACTCTCCAAAAGGCAGTAAGA